GAAACACCGATATAAATAAATCACACCTTGAATTTCTTCCAAGATTCACTAACATTTTTATAATATAAGTGATTTTGACCAAAGTCTGAACTGCAATTATTTCTACACAGAACTGATAAAATTTATAAATATTATATATCGCAATCAACTTCTTCCAAACTCCTGTTCATATTGACCGTTTTTGACTCCTTCCTATGAATCAAAAAATGTTCTTAGTGACATCAAGAGTGATAAATCCTTACGAGAAAATTTTCAATTTACTTTGCCCAGATCCATCAGAGAAATCAGTATCCATAGCGTTTCTAGCTTTATGAAATTTCTAAGATTATAAGACTTGAAAGCCAGAATTACCCCTTAATCCACATACTGCTGAATGGTGGTGTTAACAGTCATGAAAACAATATTAATTGTGTTGTACATTAGAGCTCTGGAATGGTCAGGTGCTTGTCAATGAACAACAATATTTTGAAAGGAATCTTTTACTGAAAAGTAGGTCTCAACAGTGAACTTAAAATATTCATAAGCCATGTTTGTTTATAAACAGAGGTAGTGTCATTCAGGCCTTGTTATTCCATTTATAAATCACAGGCAGAATACATTAAGCATAATTTTTAAGAGGCCTAGAACTTTCAGAATAGTCAACGAACATTGGCTTCAATTTAGAACCACAATCTGCAATAGCCTTAACAAGAGTGTCAGCCTAGCTTTTGAAGTTTTGAAGCAAGGCATTAGCTACTCTTTATCTATAAGTCCTAGATGTATCTTCTTCCACTATAAGTCTTTTTCATTTGCATTGAGTGTATGGTTTAGTGTAGTCACCTTCATTAATTACTTTAGCTAGATCTTCTGGATAACTCACTTAAGCTACTACATCAATCCTGCTTACCTTGTACTTTGTGTTATGTAGATGGCTTTTTTCCTTAAACCTCAAAGGTGTGCTTGCTTCAGATTTTTTTTTTTTTCTGTAGCTTCTTCACCTCTCTCAGTCTTCATGTAATTGAAGAGAATCAGGGCCTTGCTCTAGATTAGGCTTTGGCTTAAGGAATATTGTGTTTGATTTGATCTATCCAGGTCAATAAAAATTTCTCCCTATCGGCAATAAGGATGCTTCACTTTCTTATCACTTATGTCTTTCACTGAAGTAGCACTTTAATTTCTTTCAAGAGATTTTTCTTGTATTCACAACCTAAGTGGTACAAGAGATATAGCTGTTGGCCTATCTTGGCTTTTTATTGTGTCTTCCTCATTAAGCTTGATCATTTCTAGCTTGGCTTAAAGTGAGAAACATGATTCTTTCTTTTACACGAACACTTCCAGGTCACTTTAGGGTGATTATTTAGCCTAATTTCAATATTTGTGCATGCCAAGGAATAGAGAGGCCAAAAGAGAGGGAGAGAGAAGGGGGGAGAGCTGGTCAGTGGAGCAGTCAGAACACACATAGCATTTGCTGATTGTAGTTGCTGTCTTATATGAGCAGTGTTCATGGTGTTCCAAAACAATTACAATAGTAACATCAAAGGTCACAGATCACCATAACAAATACAATGATGAAAAAACTTGAAATATTGTGAAAATTACTACAGTGCAATACAGAGATGAACAAATGCTGTTGGAAAAATGGCGCCAGTAGGCTTGATTGATGCAGGATGTCATAAACCTTCAACTTGTAGGAAATGCAGTTATGCAAAGTGCAACAAAGCAAAGCACAATAAAATGAGAATGAATAAAATATACCTGTACCACATTTTGTTTACCCATTTATCACTTGAAAGTTACTTATGTTTTTTCTACTTTTTGACTCATGCATGATGTGTCTATGAAACTGTGTGTTGAAATTTTGTGTGAACATATGTTTTCAATTCCTAGAAGTAGAATTTCTGGGTTATATGGTAACTCTATATTTACCTTCTTGATGAGATACCAAACTTTTCCAAATGGCTACACATTTTACATTCCCACCAGCAGTGTATGAGGATTCCAAATTCTGTACCTCATCACTTGTTATTCTGTACAATAGCACTTCTTACTTTTTGTGATATATATAACCAACATATATGTACCCATATATGTGCAGGCACACACACATACACATACATATACACATATGTAACTGTCCTAGTGGTTGTAAAGTGGTATGTCACTCTGGTTTTGACTTACATTTTCCTAAATACTACTATTCATTTTTTTTAAGATTTTATTTATTTATCTGACAGACAGAGATCACAAGTGGGCAGAGAGGCAGGCAGAGACAGAGAGAGGGGGAAGCAGGCTCCCTCCTGAGCAGGGAGCCCGATGTGGGGCTCGATCCCAGGACCCTGGGATCATGACTTGATCCCACGGCAGAGGCTTTAACCCACTGAGCCACCCAGGTGCCCCAATACTACTATTCTTGAACATTTTTCCATGTGCTTTTACACATATTTATATCTTCTTTAAGTCCTTTGTCTATATTTTGTTGAGTGTTTGTTTTTTTATTGTTCAGTTGTAGGAGTTATTTTATGTAAATTTAACTGTGGAAGTGCCACATTCTATCCAAGAAAATAACAAAACTTTAAAAAAAAATAAAGATGCCCTAAATAAATAAAAAAAAAAACTCATATTATTTGATAGGAGACCTGCCATTGTTAATTAAGATGGTAACAGTTTCTAAACTGACCCACAGATTCAATATAATTTTTATTAAATTTTCAAGTGCTCTTTTTGCATAAATAAGCAATCTAATCCTAAAATTCATATGGAATTGCAAGTGGCCCTGAATAGCCAAAACAATATTGAAAAAGAGGAACAAAGTTGAAACAGTCATACTTTCCAACTTCAAATTTCATATAAAGCTACAGTGATCAAGAAAGTATGATACAGGCATAGCAATTGAGAAATAGCTCAAAGGAATAGAACTGAGTCTATTATAGACCCATACATTTATGGTCAATTGATTTTTTTTAAAGATTTTATTTATTTATTTGACAGATGGAGATTACAAGTAGGCAGAGAGGCAAGCAGAGAGAGAGAGGGAGGAAGCAGACTCCCTGCTGAGCGGAGAGCCCGATGTGGAGCTCAATCCCAGGACCCTGAGATCATGACCTGAGCCGAAGGCAGAGGCCTAACCCACTGAGCCACCCAGGCACCCCTGGTCAATTGATTTTTAACTAGAGTGCCAAGATTATTCAAAGGGGAAATAATAGCTTTTTCAACAAATCATGTTGTGCTAACTATTTTCATGCAAAAGTTGACTTTAATCTCTACCTCAAACCATACAAAACATTAACTCAATAGAAACCAAAGACCTAAAAGTAAGATATAAAACTATAAAGTTCTTAGAATAAACAGCAGGTATACATCCTTGCAACTTTGGATTAAACAACGATGTTTTAAATATGACACCAGAAGCACAAGCAAGGAAATAAAAAATAAATTAAAAAATTTACTTCATCAAAATTAAACATTTTATGAACTAAGGACACTATCAAGAAACTGAAATGACAACCCAAAGAATGAGAAAAATAAAAATCAAATCTAATAAGGGTCAAATAATTTTTAAAGTGCTTATTGGAAAGCTTTGAGGGCCTTGAATATAATAACATGAACTTATTCCCTTGTAATTGCCTTAGAAAGGAAGATGGTTAACAATGTTGGCTTAAGGGGTGTCTGGGTGGCTCAGCGGTTAAGTGTCTGCCTTTGGCTCAGGGACCTAACCCCACAGGAGCCTTCTCATCCTTTTCCTTCTGCAGCTCTCTCACTCTCTCTCTCTCAAATAAATAAAATCTTTAAAAACAAAAAACAGTGTTGGCTTAAAATAGTAAAACAAATCAGAACACAAACCTGAGTTTAAATTGTTTTCTTCTCAGGGTCACATAGATAGGATTACAATATTAAGTACTTTTTTTCACTCATATTCTCTGATAGCACATTATATCCAATACAGAAAGCATTATAATTCATGGATTTCTTTGCACGTCCATTTTTATTTTTATTTTTTCATCTGACAGGATACTGTTAATACTCACTTCTTCAAAAGCATTTTAAGTATGAGTGAGTACGTGCAGGAATGGGCAGAAGGGAAGGCGAAGGGAGACCCAAATAATTTTTTAAATATTTTTTCCATGATCCCATATAACCACATGTTGAACCATTCCTCTTTTTTTTTTTTTCCTAAATATCTCTGGAACCATTTCCTGCAGCTTCAGATTCATTGACATTATTACATTTCAACTTTCAAATAACCCAGTTAGTTTAAAATATAAGCCTTCCAAATTGCCTCCTAGATGCCGATATCCAAAAACCCATCCTCAACACATTTAACATAGTATCTTTATGAGGTAAAAATCTGCTTGCATAGGTTTTTATATTAAAAAAGAAAACTCTCAAAGGTGCCACCTGCATTAGAATAACCTACTATCCATGTTTCTATATTGTACTCCAGGTAAATTGGGAAAAGACATTTTAAGAGTGAGAACATTGACTTGTGTGTGTGATAAAAAGATCATGTGTGTGATTCTTAGTCATTTCACATTTTCAGGTCTCTAAACCTACCAAATAACGTCCTGCTACATTTTAGAACATATGAGCTTTTTATGACTTGAAGCCTGCCTTTTTTTTCTTTCTGTGTTGAAACAGGTGAGTCACATTTGAAGAACTTCCTAGAGTTCCAGTAGTGTATACTGTTATATTGATGCCTGTATTATTCTTTAAAATTCTAATGAATATCTATTTAAAATCATTTTTGAGGAAGTCAGTACCATGTTTTGTAGAATAAAAGAAATTTCACATTTGTATTGATAACTCAAGATAATACTCTACTATAGCACAGTAAGGAATGCATCTAAACATAAAGAGAAGTAGGAAGGAAAAGATGCATTGTGCTGAAATGTTTGGTTAAAATGTTGTGAGGTGAAAAAATATTATGAGATGAACTAATTGAAGGACAGAATAAGTAAAGTTATCAGATGAGTCAAAATGTTTATTTACTTTCTTTTTCAAGATTTTAAAATTAAATTTCCTCTTCATTTTTTGAAAAAAGAGAAAATCTTTTGGAGTGTGTCCTTGAAAGCTTGTTTCACTTGCTGGTTTCTGAGAGTATAAATGAAAGGGTTTAATGAAGGGGCAACTGAGGTATAAATAACACTTACACCTTTGGATAAAGTTACCCTTTCCTTTGCTGTTGGCTTTATGTAATTAAAGATACAGCTACCATAAGTAAGGGAGACTACAATCATATGAGAAGAACAAGTAGAAAAAGCCTTTGTTCTTTTCTGAGCAGAGGGGATTTTTAGAATGGTCTTGATAATATATGTGTAAGAAAGAACCAGTAACAGCAACGTGACTAGGAGATTTATAAGAGATAAGACAAACGAAAGTAATTCCAGTAAATGAGTGTCAGTGCAGGAAAGCTGCAGCACGGGGGAAATGTCACACATGAAATGATCAATTACTTTGGAAGCACAGAAATCCAGTGTCAGTCCTGAGGCCAATGGTGGAAACGAAAGCAGAAAGCCAACTGTCCAGGAACTGAATAGAAGTTGGTAACACACTTTGTTGTTCATAATGATGGGGTAATGTAGAGGTTTGCAGATTGCTACATACCGGTCAAAAGACATGGCAGCCAGTAGGTAAAATTCTGTAATTTCTAGTAAGAGGAAAAAGAATAACTGAGATGCACAACTATTGTAGGAAATTATTTTGTTTTTAGTCATGATGCTTATCAGGTATCTGGGAATACAGACTGTTGTCAATGAAGCTTCCATGAATGAGAAATTTCGGAGGAAAAAATACATGGGAGTCTTGAGGCGGGGATCTAGCAATGTAAGAAGGATGATGGTTAAGTTCCCCACCACACTGAACACATAGTTTAGAAAGAAAAATATAAAAATCACAATTTGCAATTGTGGGTCATCAGTCAATCCTAGGAGAATGAATTCAATCTCTCTTGACTGATTCCTCATTTCAGACCTGAGTACTATTAAATAAAGATAGGAAGACAACTTCAGAATTGGAAAAAAGAGGATTTTTACAAAAGCTACTGGCAGAAAAAAAAAAACGTAGTCAGAAGTGTAAAGAAGTTTAAAAAATTGATCCAATTTAACAGGATAGATGATACTTAAAACTGTATTAGCCTTGGTCAATCTAACTGATTGCTGCATTTAAGTGACAGTTATGATAAGAACACTACTAAACTTTTTCTTTTTCCCTATTTGAACTTGAAAGATCATTTAAATTTTAGCTGATTATTTCCAAATGAGGTAAATTCTCTTTCGTGTCTAAATAGAACAAAAGCTTGACCTTAAGTGTATTTTCTATGTATAGCTTAAAAATCATTGAAAAATTTCTCATAACATCCAGAAAATTAATACCAATATCTATATGTAATTTGCTCTTCAAAAATTCTTAGCTCATTAAAACACTTAAAAATTTGTGAAATAATGGAAGTAATGACAGTTACATACTATTTCTATGATTGAAATATTCAGATAGATACCATTATTTTGTCCCGATGCAGTACTTCCCCATTGTTCCTTTATCTCATTTCACTTAATTATTATTTTTCATTCATTTCAAATACATCAGTCTTCTCAGCAGTTGCATTTAATCATGAGGTTTTGACTGTTACATCTACATAAAAATAGAAAAGTAAATGACAGTTCAAAAGTCAACGGATATTACCTGACTTTTACTTGTGGCAATGCTTTCATTTATGATCTAGATATTTACTGCAAGTTATAAGTGACTTACCATATCTAGAATACATTGATATAATTTTCCCCTTATGGGAATGTGGTAGAAACAGGGGTCAAAAGTAAATGACGAATATTCTATCTCTAATAATATTACAAAAAATTCAATAGTTTAAGAGGAAAATTAATTCCAAAGCATTTCTGCAGAGGTTCTAAAAACATAGATGCATTCTGGAAATTATATTAATCTGTTAATAACTTTCACTTTCACTGATGGTCATTAAAATGACACGACCCAGATATTACAAATAATTAGAATCCTCTTTCAGGCTGGATGAGATTGACTTTCTGTCTTTTTTTTTATATATTAAGATGAAGGTAAACGTCTCTAAAAATACTAAGTGAAAATCTAATGCTCTAAATGAAAAGTGATTTGGGGAAATCCCTCATACGAAAGGAACCCAAATTTTGTAACAAAGAATTCTTGCTTCAAATTATGAACTAACAAAAGGAACAGTTTTATTACTTTGCTCATAGGATACACAGGGGATTAATTTTAAAAAGAAGAAGAAAAAGAAAAGAAAAAGAAATGCCCCCTTGAGACTCATATCAGGAATATCAGTTATGTGAAAAATAAGACAACAACCCAAACAAACAAAAACAGAAGGAAATAAAAACTACTTTGAAATGCCTTAGGCACAAAACTGAATTTCTTTAACTACAAAACATATTCTCCCAAAAGAGAACTAGAAGTAATTTAAACCCTATACTTAATGCCAACAAGAATTTCAGATATTCCAGTACCCTGGGACAGTATGACCATTTCTACACATTAAGAGGGTTTAGCCCAAATGGAAACCGTTCACTTGTTTCCCCAGTCAATAGTGGGATTTCATTAACTAGTGAATTAACTATGCCCCAAATTGGAGGTGTAGGGCAGTACTTAATATTTTGCTATTTTTTAAATTTTGACATAAAAAATAAAGAAGAAAACCAACAAATAACCATGAAGGTCATTTATTCCTGGATCATTTGTTGATCCATCTGCTATTCGATATAATAGTATGTGTTTATAACAAAAAAGAATATTCTACTAGATAAGCATGATATAGCCATTAGTGTCAGGGCATTAACATTCATAGATTATTAATGTACTTCTCCAATGCTATTTAAGTTTCACCAGTGACTAAAAGTTTTTTTAATAGAAAATAATACAATTTGGGGCACCTGGGTGGCTCAGTGGGTTAAGCCTCTGCCTTCGGCTCAGGTCATGATCTCAGGATCCTGGGATCGAGCCCCGCATCGGGCTCTCTGCTCAGCAGGGAGCCTGCTTCCTCCTCTCTCTCTGCCTGCCTCTCTGCCTACTTGTGATCTCTCTCTGTCAAATAAATAAATAAAATCTTTAAAAAAAAAAAGAAAATAATACAATTTAGACTTATATGTTAATTTAATTACCATAATGTTTTAGTTTCCTTTAATTTGGAAAATTCTGTAGTCTTTCCTTAACTTCAAGAATATTGATTGAAAATTTTTCTTTTTTTTTCTTCTTTAAATTAACTCTAAGTACATTTTTTAAAAATTTGAATCCAGTATAGTCTATCTACAGTTTTATATTAGTTTCAGGTGTACAATGGAGTGATTCATTAATTCTGTACATTATGCAGTGCTCTTCAAGGTAAGTGTGATCTTAATCCCCTTCTGTACATGCACACTTGAGCTGCTTCTATATTTTGGCCATTGTAAATAATGCTTCAAAGGCAGAGTGCACAAATCTTTTTAATTACTATTTTCATATTCTTTGGGTAAATGCTCAGTTGTGGAATTAATGGATCATAGAGTAGCTTTATTATAAGTTGTTAGGAAGCCTCATTTTGTCTTCAACAGTGGCTATATCAATTTGTATTTCCATCAATAATGCACAAAGTTTCCTTTTGAATTTGTTTTTGTGTTTGATATAAGAATGTGGTCCAGTTTCTTTCTTTTGCTTTCCAGTTTTTCCAACTCCATTGGTGAAAAAGACTGTCCTCCCACTGCTTACTTTTGCCCTCTTTGTCAAAGAGTAATTGTATCATGGGTTTATTTCTGAACTTTTTATTCTGTTCCATTGATCTGTGTCTACTTTCCTGCCAATACCATACTGTTTTGATTACTATAGCTTTGTAATATAACTTGAAGTCCAGAATTGTGATAACTCCAATTTTGTTTTTTTTCAACTTGCTTTGGTTATTTGGGTTTGTGATTTTGGTGGCACCCCTATCTAAAACAAATTTTAGAGCTGCTTGTTGTAGTTTTGTGGAACATGCTGTTAGTATTTTGATAGGGATTGCAGTAAATGTTTAGATTGCTTTGGGTAGTATAAACATTTTAACAATATTTGTTCTTCTAGCCCATGAGTGTGGAATACCTTGCCATATGGTTGTATCATCTTCAATTCCTTTCATCGGTGTTTTACAGTTTTTAGAGTACAGGTCTTTGATCTTATTGGTGAGGTTTTTTTTCTTAAGTATTTTATTATTTTTGGTGTAATTGTAATTGAGATTGTTTCTGTCCATATGATTTGTCCATTCATGTAAATAAGGTGTGAAAGTTGCCTACTATTATTGTATTATTATTGATTCATTCCTTTATGTTTGTTATTAACTGCTTTATGTATTTGGTGCTTCCATGTTGGGTACATAAATACTTACAATTGTTATATTTTCTTGTTGGATTGTTCCTGGTGTAATTAATTAGCATTAATTAGCATAATTTGCCTCTTTTTACAGTATTGGTATTAAAGTCTATTCTATCTGATACAAGTATTGTTACCCAGCTTTCTTTTCACAACCATTTGCATGATAAATGAACAATATATATTTCTTTGAGTACAGAGAGTGAGAAAGGAGCAAATATATGAAGAAAAAAATCAACAAGGAAACAATAGCATTGATGACACATTGGATGGACCAGATGAGTTTAGCAGTTGTATTCAGACTATTCCAGCCTAAAACAACAGAATACACATTCTTTTCAAGTGCACATTGACTACTCTCTGGTATAGATCACAGGTTAGGCCACAAAAGAAGTCTCAACAAATTAAAAAAGATCAAAGTCATACCACAATGCTGTGAAACTAGACCACAACACTATGAAACTACAAATCAACCACAAGAAAAAAAAAGTGGAAAGAACAGGAATACATGGAGGTTAAATAATGTGTTACTAAACAATAAATGGGTCAACAAAGATAGCACACAGAAATAAAAAGAAAAAAATCATGGAGACAGTGAAAATGAAAACCCAATGGCTTAAACCTTTGAGGTACAGCAAAGGTGAATCTAAGGAAAAAAATATCAGAAGGTGTTTTAAAACTGTCTGGTATGGTTTCTACACATATTTTATGTAGCATAAGCTACTTACTGTTTTATATGTTCTCTCTGCTGCTGGATCACTGGAAATATTTCAGTGAATCAAAATTGCTAGAGCAGGACTGCTCATAAAACACTAA